GGATGGATGGATGGATGGATGGATGGATGGATGGATGGTCTGTCATCCATTTGACTGATGACAGACCATCAAGTAATAAATTATTTCCATATTATTCCAATTATTTCCGGATTCATGCCAACAGGTTCTGATGACGCGCAGCTGCCTTTTCTCCACCAACAACAACCTGTTTGACAGCGCGCCCACTTCCTCCTTCCTCGCAGCGCTGCGCCGCTGCAGCAAACCTGCCGAACCGAACCGAACCGAACCCTGCCCAGAACCCATCGATGCAGCAGAGCTCCGGGTGGCAGCGGACCCCCTCAGCCCGCTCCCGGAGCGCTTACCGGGCCTCTCCTCTTCAGAGAGATGTTCTTCCACAGCAGGAGGTGGAGCTGGTGCAGGAACCCCATCTCTGCCCTAGATTCTCAGGATGAGCGCAGCAGCAGCGGTGGCCTGTGTCTGGATGGCAGGATCCTCCCTGGGCATCCCGTCCCGGCCTGACACGGCCCGGAATGGCTCGGGTTTTCACCGGCTCAGCAGCATAGAGGAGGCCGGGCTGGGATCAGGTGATGTGGGCTGTGTGGTCCTCTGGGTCCCGGCTGGTCCACTCTGTCCTGCTTCCTGACGGAGAGCTGGAACTTCAACAGGAGCGCAGAGCAGCTGATCTCATCAAGCTCCCTATGCTGAGCAACACATCCACTTCCTATTTGGCCCTTCAAATTAAAGGCACCTAGGCCTACTGCCCCCTGTCCACCGACCACTACACTACTTATTAGGGCTTTTATTTTATAAGAATTTTTAAAAAGTTATGTAATAAAATCTGAGCTGGTCATTAACTTCTAAAACTAACCCGTGAGATTTTTGCCTTTCTAAAGGTTTTAAATTCCTTGTAATAAAATAATAATCAGAATAATAATAATCATGATAATAATAAATGTAATTTATTGATTCCACATTGGAGAAATCGACCTCTGCATTTAACATATGATGTTTTTTGATGTTTTAGGACAATGTGGCACATTTCATCGTTTTTGGCGTAAAACTATGAAGTTTGAAGTTTGGTTTTATTAAAGTAGTCTAAAACACTTTAGAAAGGAAATTAAACTTCATATCCATACATCTGATTCATCACAGCAGAAATCTCAAAGTGAAAGATATCCATCAGAATAGAAAGGGTTATAAACAACTTAGGACTCTGGGATATAAACAAAATGTAAATGCAGCTGGTCTAGATTTTAATGTGTAATTTTGGGTTCCTTCAATTTATTTTATTGAATTGTGCTTTTCTGTTTTTAAAACAATGATTTATTGAGCTGTCAGCTCCAAAGTTGGGTCTTAGATGTGTCTGACATCAGACCCACCTCTAGTAATTATATTTGTAGTTATGGCTCTGTTCTTTTTTTGTTTTGTTTTATTTGTTTTTAATAGAAATATATTTATAACTAATAAATTTTTAGAAGTAGGTGATATAGAGCAGCTGTTTTAGGGCCTTTTTGAGAATTTAAGGGAGTTTTGTTTTCTTCTGTTTCCAACAAGCTTTTCTGATGTGATACTTCAAAATGTGCTTTAGAAAAAGTAGGTAGAAATGCACCTAATATAAAGAAAACTTTCTGCAGTTCAGCCGCCTGCTTTTTACTGCCTTCACATTCCACCAGGGGGAGCATCATGATACCAAACTCTTCTGGCCCACACCATGGCAAGTTTTATTTATAAAGCACTTTAAACACCCCCACAGTATCAAAGTGCTATACACAATCTTAAGATACAAATAGGCAATCATAAAAAATTAATTGGTGTATAAAAGTAGTAATAAAATAAAAAGCAATAATAAAATAATAATAAAAACAAAAAATCTCAGATTATTTCTAAAGTCAAAGGAAAGAAATGGCTCTAAAGAAGAGATTTAAAATCAGAAAATGAAGAGGCCCTTTTAATGGCAGAGGGAAGGTCATTCCACAGCTTAGGGGCTGCAGCAGAAAAATGATGGCCCCCACCTAGCCAGACCTTTGTCTTTGGCACCTCAGTAACAACCGGTCAGCTGATCTAAGGGAGTGAAAGGGTGTGTGGGGATGTCTCAGCTTGGACAGGTAGGGCAGGGCATGGTCATATAAAGCTTTAAAAACAAATAGAAAAATTTTAAAATAAATCCTAAAATGTACTAGTAGTCAAAGTAAAGAGAATAAGATACGGGATATATGATCATATTTTCCTGTACCTGTTAAGTGCAGCAGCATTCTGAACCCTTTGAACCTGTGAAATGCATGATTCACCCATACCCTGATAGAATTACGATAATCCAACCGAGTTGTTAAAAGGTCTAGCCTTTACTTCGGCTTGCTGCCTCAAGGGGAGAAAGCCGGATCTTAGAGCCGTTCTAGTGTGAGCTTTAAACTTGAGACCAGCATATGTTCTAACCCTTTAAATGTGTAATAAAAGGCCTGAAATACTGGGAAAGGAGCCAACATCAGTCTTCCCTGGAACTACCAAAAATCTCCACCTATGTACCTATTTTCTTCATTTAGTTTTAAGAAATCTAGAGCCATCCAGGCTTTCAAGTCTTCTAAGCTTAAAAGCAGACTGTAGAAAAGTGGAGTCGGTTTTCTTTGGTGTGACATAAATCTGTTTATCATCTACATAACAGTAAAAAATAAATTCCAGATTTCCTAAAAATAGAGCCAATAAGGAGGAGGTACAACATGAAGAGGAGAGGGCTGAAAACCGAGCCCTGTGGGACACCACACGATGATGAGGCAGCGCATTTCAACTCATCTTCCTCTGTTCATTGGAGAATTCTAGCTTTTACATAGGAGCAAGGGATGGATTTACCATTAGGCAATCCTAGGGAGTTGCTTAGGGCCCCAAGTTCCTGGGGACCCCTTAAAACTCTGTTTACATGTATGGTTAATACAATTATTCCTTATTTGTGCACATTAATTATGGTTTCGATAAAAATCCTTTCACTAAAATGCCATCAGAAGGTTTATAATATTAAGTGTGTCTCCCCCTTTGGTGTCCACCATATTGGATCAGTCCATTTGCTGCACATGTTCAGAAAGGTCCAAACAGACAGCAGCAAACCATTTGAAAACAAACGATATGAAGAGCAGTGTTGACAACTTAGCGCTTTTGTCGCAATATTTAGTGACTTTTCAGACCAAAGTGTAAAATCTAACAACTTTTTTCTGCTACTGGAGACTTTGGAGACAACGTCTAAAAGCAGCGAACTCTGCTCTCCA